GAGAGAGAGGAGAGAGTGAGAGAGAGAGAGAGAGAGAGAGAGAGGGAGAGATGAGGAGAGAGAGAGAGGAGAGAGAGAGAGAGAGAGCGAAGCAGTGAACGGTCACATACATACATACATACATACATATATATATGTATATATATATATATATATATGTGTGTGTGTGTATATATATATATATATATATATCTTTAATACATGTATGCATACATATAAACACAATATTTACATATATCTTACTACGGTAGCTGACTAGCTTAGCTTCAGCATCGCGTGTAATACGCTTATGCAATATGAATATCCTACGTTGCACAAGTTCCCAAGATGCTCTACGTTGTTTACATTCAGGTTATGTCAGATCAATGTGTTCCAGACTGCTTTTGACTAGGAGATGCCCTAGCGGACGTAGTCCATTTCCATGTCATCATGGACAAAGTCCACAAATTAGAAGCTCTGCGGTCGGAGTCGCGTCAGATACACAGAAAACACATTTCTTGACATTTGAATCATGGTCCGTGATTATCTGAAGCAGGTGATCACAAGTGACCTTGCATCAATTACCTGCATCAAAAATCATGGAGGCCTCCATATTGCACAAAAGCGAGATTTTATAAGCCCAACAATAATTTGCCGAATGAGATCACGTACAGTTGACTCAAGATGATCTAGCTTATTTGATCACCAGATCACGCGTAAGCGTTCGTTTCGTTTCGTTTTCGTTTTCGTTTCGTTTCCTGAGGAAAGCAAACACAAAATTCATCATGATGACCTAGTATGACATCAGGGTGACCTGGCTCGACCTCAGCTGCCCCCAAGCAACGTCTTTGAATCCGTTTATGTGGGCTCATCGCGTATAAAGACAATACCAATGCGACGAATACAACCTCCGAATCATTACCTAACATGGTACTGATTAAGATATAATCTCCGAATAATAATAAGTAAATACTGATAATTGAATAGAAATAAATAATAATATACATACTAATAATAGAAAACACTAATGAAATAAAGGCTCCGAATCAGTACCTAAGTACCTAGTGACGTCATTTCGTCACAACCTAGCATGACGTTGACCTATATTTATGAAACGAAGCCTGCGAGCCAGCGCATATGAACATTTCGCCCGCATATACGTGGGGTGGAAGCTTGCGCGTCTGAAATACACGCCGTCGCCAGCCGCGTTTTAACGCGACAAATGACGCCATCTGGTGATTACCTTCATCATTTTGACCGCTGTCGTATTTTGCGTGTACTTTCCTGGCAGTTAAAGTTTTTCGCACGCTGCATCAACTTTGAGTGATAATCCCACGCCGAATGATAAGAACACCCCCGCTTTGAGCGAGTGTGACCATTGATCGTTCGGCGCCTCGAAGCCGGCGCTGAGACGCGTACCCGGCCGTCACTTGTTCACCCGGGCCGCGTGCTGCGGCGCCGCGGGACGTGTAAACAAACCACTCCAACCCCGGCCCGTGCAGGCGCCGGCCGGCCCGGTACGCGGCGGGGTCGGTGCCGTCTCATGGTCAGATCTCGTCCCGTGCTGAGATACGGCGCTCCTCCGTCAGCCAGAGGACAGAGGCGCACCCAGCCGCCGAATCGGGTGGAGCGCACTGGTGGCGTCAATCCTGAATCCTCCGCTGATGGTCGGGCGCTTGAGGGACCGTAGATAACGATGGCAGGTGATCTCCAGTGGGAGGAGGGAAAGCTGGGGCTGTATTGATGCGTTGGGATGGTCGATCGCTTCCACAGATCGCTTCGCTTCGCTGCCTCGTTGCCCGTTTCCGAGTCCGGCCAGACTCCCGTCGCGCCCTGCCGCGGGACGCGTGCCTGGCTCCGCCCCTGGCGCCCCGCGGGCTCCGCCGTCCCTGCCGCTGGGAAGCGGGATAGTACGCAGTGGGCGACGACGGGATCCGGTGCCCAAAACCGGTAGCCATCCCTGCAGGCTGGGATCCAGCCGCACGTACCGGGATCCGTCTCCACCGACCAGTATCCTGCTACTCAAGACTGGGGTCCGCCCGGATATAGGCCGCGCGAGCCTGGCGCCACCCCCAGACTAGGGTAAGCCGCACAGGCTGATCCGAGCTGAAACAAACGGCTGAGGGAGACTGTGACCCGAGGCGCAAAGCGTCACCGACGGTGCCTTTTCAGACTCATCACTATCTTGACAAGTGTTAGTGCTAATGTGCTAATAAGTAGCATTTAACAACTTGCTCCCGCGATGAGTTATTCCCTCGAGTTGTGTCCGCGATTGAGATATGAGAAAGTCTGAGCACGCTTCGCATTCATGTCGCACGGTTTGTAAGAATGGCGGGGCTGGATTTGTGTAATTAAACGTAATGAACACTTGCGAGGCAGCTCTAAGTGATAGAACAGTTGCGACAATTTCCGGTGACGGCTCTCTGATAGCCACAAACAAGACGTCACTTCAATCGAACGCGCCTTTGGTGGCTAGACCAAAGCCAAAACTTTCTTACCAAGCGCGTCATTGAGCGCCAAACAGATCTTTGGCTTTGTTTGGTTATTTTGATTGATTTGATTTTCGACCAGTTATGACCATTTCAGGCCTATGAGATGAAGGAGAGTGGATAACGGTGGGGTATGACCCACAGGCGTCTGGGGGCCCAAATCAGTATAGGCCTCCGCGAGCCTAGCCGCGTAGGGACCCCTCTGCGGTGTACGCGCCGGGCGCCCGGTCGTGGTGCCCTCCAGGACGCCTCTCGGCCCACTCGTGGCTGGCGTATTTTGATCTTGGATATTCTGCGTGGGCGTAAGTGCCCTGTAAGAGGAGCTAATGTGTGACCGCCAGGCATTCATCGAGCTTTGCGCGCTGGTCACCAAGATCAAGATTTAGAAGGCGTTGGGCTGTGGATGAAATACGCTCCTATAGTAGCTGTAAACGCCTCTGAGTTTCATGCAATGTTAGGCGCCATTGCGTGTTTTCAATGCATCGGTCTACCGGTTACCGATATCGTGTTTTTTTTCACAGGTCGAATATGCACCTGCTTCTCTTAATATCGAAATATGAGGTTGGTGTTTCTCTTTGGTGTTTTTCTCTCTTGGTGTTTTCTCTCTCTTAAAACACTCTTGGCGTTTTCCATTGCGAATAACTGATGGCTACTTATTGATGATATCAATGGTGAAAATAATCAATTGCTTTTGTAATGTGAATAACATTTATCTTCAATTTTCATGCCTGTTCAGAGAGCAGGATCTTTGTGGCCTGACCTGGCCTGTGACCTGACCTGTCCGATGGCACACAGCGACAGAGGGAGGACGATGGGAGCGTTGTCTGCAGCTCTGGACTGTAGCTGCTTCGCTAGCTTTCTGATGACACCGGACGGCGATCAGTCGGAGCCCTACCTAAACCGCGGATTCGCAGGAATTTTAGTTTGTTACTTGGAACAAATGCTTGAACAACAACCACTACTCCACAACTCCTGTCTTCCTCTCTTATCCCGGCGCATTTGTGCTACGCGGTTTCTGTTCCCCGAGATTCTAATTGGTTCTTTCCGGGGAATGAATGGAAATGATTGGACGAACAGTCTGCGACGTGTGCGACCTGCACGGAGTCGCCATAGACTCCTGCCCAGTGGGATGCCAAGTCAAAACAATGCCGGGTCAGCTGAATTGGTAAACAAACCATGAGCTTTCAAGGTCTAGTGGCAAAGCTACACACACACAAATCCCATTGGCTTTTCAGAAGTCGTCTTGTGACTTTTTACACAAACTCACTCATGTTTTTCTTTTCCAATCAGAGCTTTTCAACAACTTCCGGAGCAATGACTCGTTGATATCGTGCGCGAGACTAGGTGAGTGGCGAGATAATATATATACATATATATATATATATATATATATATATATATATACATATGTCGACACATTTGCTTACCGTTTTCGTACGTTCTCATGGGGCAAACCACACACTGATTACTGGATTGTTTGTGCACGAACCCAAACGCCGTTCAGTCGCTACAACTAGATAGATCTCCCGTCTTTCATGCAAGGTTATCAACTGTATGGTGTTGTGTGGGGCTTGCTCGTCTACCGATCTTGCCCATTAAGGAAATATATTTTTGGAAACTGACGCACGCCATGAATCTTGAACTGCTGAACAAGATTTTTGCAGCGCACAGACGTTTTTTAAAATCATACATGCTAATCATGTAGACAGTGGCCAGTGGTGAGCCGTCTGCAATGCATTAAAGCAATTGGGTAGGCTGCTTAAGTGCACATAAGTTACGAACAACAAGATCATGGATCTCTGCGCAATAACTGGGAGTTCAACGACGCAGGAGACAGCTGTCTGCTTCGAGACTTGGTGATTCGGTGGTTTCGATAAACTTCCAGTTTCGAAAAACAGTTTTATTCGGCTGTTTTTCTATCCGCAAAATATGCATTGTGATCACCGATATGCGGTTATGGTATTGACAAAGACGGAAACTAAGCTCTTTTTCTGCCGCACACATATTTGTCCTTCCATCAGTTCAGGCTTGGCACATCACTTGTAAACAAGTGGTGGGCAAAGCGACATTCACAAGCGTTTAGCGAGCACATCTGCCGAACGCTGATAGCGTGTTCCTATCATGCCCTCAGAGCCCAACTGGCGTTTGATGCGGCTGTCAAGATATCACGCCTGGTAACACCGTGAAGGGCGACGCTGCCACTTGTGTGTGCTATGCTGCCACACTTATAAGAATAGATTCGTTTTTTTTCTGTCTGGAGGGTCCCTGCGCTCTGTAAACGGTTTTGAGCTCTTTAGGGGGTATGGGGCCCGTACCTCCCTGGATTTCAGACTGAGTGTGTTTATTGAAGAACGGTCGCCGAAAGAGATACTTTTCTGCTTTGTTTTTAGCTTCTCGCAGGCGTTGACAATATCTCAAACGAATATGGCACATGGTCTCTCCGACATAGGCTATGCTCCTCCTTTGTTTTGTACACAGTTAACACTTAATTTCGTGAACCACGTTTTTTTGCGTGTGCAAAGCCTTGAAGTACTGAATTACATAAATAGCACATGTTGTTCCTGAGGCACTCATGATTCGAGATAGAAGATGTCACCAGGCGCTCTGTCAGCTTCTTGTCTTTCCTCCAAGCCGTATGTTCGCACAGCTTTGATTTCCAAACGATGTGTCCGATTTAATTTATGTACGGTGAACCTAAGAATCTGTTGTCCAACAGGTCGTGTCCCTGTTTCGCACCACCCATCCCCCACGTGTTCCAGTTTTGTTTTACCTCTTCCAACATTCTACCTAAAGGTCACGGAGATTATCCATTGGCAAACAGCAAAGTTTATGTTTCGCTTACGCTCTTCCTTTCTTTTCATTACTTGATGGGTTGCTTAGAGCCCTATGAAACATGTTACAAAATGTGCTGTGCTTAGTGGAAGTTGGGTGCACCTGTTGGATCCGTCCTGCTTCGTGACGTCACCTGACACGCAGCATAGGCGCTTGCCACCGGTCGGAGGCCGTCCCAGAAAACTTCAGTCATTTTTTTGTTGAGGGTGGCAAGAACTCACCTATGACCTCATTATAAAAAGTCTGCACGGTGGAATCTAAACATTCGGTTGTTTTCATGGCGCATTCTTGGCTCTGTGTACCGGACCTTGGTGTCTAGCAGCTGCGAAGTTATGAAATAGATGCATGATGAACATCATCAGTGGCTCTGACCTTTGAAAAAGTCGTTCTTATTCAAGGCAGCATGAAGCCATGTTTTAAAATTGTTGCCAATTTGCTGCACGACGCCGTTAAATCAGAGAACGAAAATGTTGGCTTTGATAACGTAAACCGTTCAAAATGATATCGAAATAAGTCGTGAAAAGTGTTCACGACTTATTTGCCATAACTAATGCCAATGAACATTTGCGTGTATCAATATCATCACCGTTTATGAAGACGCCGAATGCAAGGTCACTCAACTTCAATATCACTAGGTTACCTCGCATCACCTGTGAGAGGTGATTGTTATATGCTTTGCTAAATGTTATAGCTATAAGCTTCAACTAAATCTGCCTTCTCCGCGGATTTACAAAACAAGCTGCGATGAGCTGGAAATCGCATGATTTGGTCTTGCTCCACCCGACGTGACAAAGCAGCCTTAAGAGACGGTGTTTAATGATATTTGCAAAAGTGACAGGTCTAGCATATACGTACCGCCATCACTGTTTTGATTTGTTTTTTGTCTATCCCGGTATGGTATGGTATGGTATGGTATGGTATGGGTTTGGCAGAGGGCCTCACGCCCATGCCGGGAAGGCGGCCAAACACTTACGGAGGGCCTCACGCCCGTAACGGGTAATGTGGCCAAGCACGTACGAGAGGCCTCACGCCCGTACCGGGGAAGGTGGCCAAGCACGTGCAAAAGGCCTCACGCCCGTACTGGGTGAGGTGGCCAGGCACGTGCGAAGCTAGCGTCGGACATGTGAGTCTGGCATTGTAGGACGGCGTTTTAACTCGTGGCATGTTGCTCCAGCCGCCGTCATGCCGGGGATAACGGAATCACTGCTGGACGGCGTCCTGTCGGTGCTGCCGGACGTGCGCGCCCTGCCGCTGCCGCACGTGCTGCTGCTGCTGCTACTGCTGTTGCTGTTGCCGCTGCTGCTGCTGCTGTACAGGGCGTCGTCCGGCGGCGGAGCGGGGATCGGCGGATTGCCGGGGCCCAAGCCTATGTACCCGCTCATCGGCTCGGCCCTCCTGATGCCCAGCGACATGACAGGTGAGGAATAGGACCGGTGGGAAAGACGGGCGATGAGGACTGGTGGAGAGGACCGGTGGGGGGGGGGACCCATGGGAAGCACTGGTGGGGAGGACCAGTGAGAAGCACTGGTGTGAAGACCGGTAAGGAGGAGCACCGGTGAGGAGGACTGGCGAGGAGGACTAGTGGGGAGGACTGGTGGGGAGACCGATGGGGAGAAATGGTGGGGAGGACCGATGAGAAGGACTGGTAAGAAGCACTGGTTGGAAGGCTGGTAAAGAGGAGCACCGATGAGGAGGACTGGTGAGGAACTCCGGCGGGAGGACTGATGGGGTGGATCGATGGGAAGGACCGATGGGGAGGACTGGTGAGAAGCACTGATGGGAAGACTGGTACAGAGGAGCACCGATGAGGAGGACTGGTGAGGAACTCCGGCGGGAGGACTGGTGAGGAGGACTGCTGACGTGACAGGTTCCGGCTGACACGGCTTTGGCCCGGACAGGCTCGGTTTTGGACACAGAAGGTGTTAGACCGGTGACGCTGCGGAGTAAGATGCCGATTCGAACTGCATCTACGCGTTAGATGTTCTGAACGTCCCAGTGCTTGTTCTGGATTCCACTCCGCGGCTCGTCATATTTAGAAGGGTTCGTTTTTAAATAGTTTGTGTGGATGGATGTGGATCAGAAATACGTGTTATAGAGCATTACCGGCATCTGCTTAGGCACCGTAGCCGTGATACTGACATACAAACAAATTAAAATCTACTAGCGATGTGAGTTGTTCGGTGCAATAGCGGGGAACATTATTTACATACATAGGACACTAGTATTAGCCTCATTCCCCGGAACAAAACCAGGAGAATGGAGATGTAGTTGGGTTGATATTTCGGCAACATGCCTTTATCGGAACAATAGCAGAAGTGACTTCTGCTATTCAGATGAACTTCTGCTATTGTTTCAATAAAGGCATGTTGCCGAAACATCAACCCAACTATATCTCCATTCTCCTGTTTTTTTTTCCGATGAATATGGCCATTACTATTGTCTCATTTATTAATGATGTAATGACAACAGTAATGTTATAGTAATACTAAATGATGTGTCTAAAAATAACGCAGGCGGCGATTACTATGATCTGCAGGAGAAAGTGGCTGAAATGGATGGAATAACATTGGAAAACATTTTCAGGGGAAGTTCCATACGAAGACCGAACTATGACGATTCTTAATCCAAATCCTGATTTTTTTTAGAAATTCTCAACGTTTTGATGGGGTGGAGCAAGGAGTTCCAAGGATGTTTTCACTTGAAGCTGGGCTCCGACTACGTCATCATCAACACACCAGAGGCAGCCGAGGTAAATAACGTCACTGAGAGGATGTTTTCGTGAGATGTGGGGCGTAATCAGCCATTATTGTGCCTGATCACTACGTGATCATCACTACATCACTACATCCTTGTGCTTTCTGCTACGAAATATATTTCGAAGTTCTCAACCAATTGCGCGGAATCCTGCACTTGCTCGAAACCACGTGGTGCAACCTTAAGGGACTGTTCCAGTTTGCATGTGGTTTTGAACTGATACGACCGTCTTGAAGATCATTCGGTTGTCATGCTAAATGCTTGTTGCGTTAGTTCCGGGTCTGTTCTTTTGAGCTGTTGGTTTTCTGTCGGCCCCTAACCGTCAGTCCAACTCTCCGAGTGCCTGGCGTTGTTACAGGTGGTGTTGAGCAGCAACCAGCACATTCAGAAGGGCGAAGAGTACGACGGCTTGAAACCGTGGTTGGGTGACGGACTACTGATCAGCGCAGGTGGGCTCGAATCCCAGTCGTTCCCAAAATATTTGGTCATAAAACATACTTATTTAATCAAGTCGGGGATGAAAAGGATTTCGTCAGAAATTGACTGCACCTATTGATAGTTCCCAGATAGACTATCAGCTTCAGAGGAGTCATGCGACTGTCCAGTCGTCTGAGCATCGAGAATCGCGGATGTGCGCACCAGTACGGTCGCGCTACACAACGGCTACATACATACCTGGTTATGTAAAGTGGTTGAATATTTAACCGTAAGACTATTGTGAAGGGCGTTGCTGGCCAGCGGTTGGTTGCTGGCTTTTCGTTCTGGCTGCCATTCGTGGGTATGATTAACCATCTCGAGGAAAGATATTCTCAGATATTAAATATATAAGATATTCTCGATATATTCACACATTAAAAACTCATGCTCTCAGACAGAGAAACGGCTCAGGCGTCACATCGAGAGAAATGTTGATGGCTCGCAGAAGAGTGGTCGAAATAATGATCCTTCCCACCAGGCTCCAAGTGGCACAAGAGGAGGAAGATGCTGACGCCTGCCTTCCACTTCTCCATCCTGGACCAGTTCATGACGGCCTTCAACGAGCAGTCGAAAGTGCTTGTATCTAAACTGCGAGAAACGAACGGCCAAAGGACCGACGTCTTTCCCTACATCACCAAGGCAACGCTGGACATTATCTGTGGTGGGTTCCAAACGCAGGACATTATCTGTGGTGGGTTCCAAACGTGACCGTGCAAGCGCACGCGAGGTGATCTACCATGGGGTTCCTCGTTCGAGGTGATCTACCATGGGGTTCCTCGTTCGAGGTGATCTACTATGGGGTTCCTCGTTATTTTGCGTGATGACGTGCCATGAACCAAAGACGTATTGCAGCAATTCCATGTCTTGTACCTTGGTTACGATTAATGACGTCTGAAGAGTCTGGGTGAGTTGAGTTCTCAGAACAAGAGATCCGAGATATTTGGCTGTAAGACGTCGAGTATACTCTGTGATCTCATGTCAAAGAAAGTGTCGCATTTTTGCGTGGCCCTATAGGTTAGAGAGTATCTGGCTGCGTGGTTATGAGATAGGAGAACAAAATAGTTGCTGGTTGTCGCCCAGGATGCTGTTCATTCCGGTTGCATATCATGTGTGATATCGTAAGTGGTGCCGACACAGAAGCGGCCCCGACACCAGCGGGCTCCGCCCCTAGCGGGCTCCGACAGGTCGTCGGATGTCCTGCTGCGCCCTCTGCGCTGGGCGTGCTTTGCGGTCGGGGCCAGTAGCGGCATTGGAATGGAGGGTGGTCTTTTCCACTGTGCCAGAGGCCCCACGCTGATCTAGAGGCCCTCATTGACCCAGAGACCCTCAATGACTCGGGGGCCCTCAATGATCCAGAGACTCTCAATAACCCAAGGGCCCTCACTGACCCAGAGGTCCTCAATGACCCAGAGGCCCTCAATGACCCTGTGGTCCTCATTGTCTCAAAGATATCACTGGTCCAGAGGCATGTTCCAGAGGCTCTCTGTCTCAGGGGCCTCTCCCTCCTGCCCCAGAGGTCAATCCCTCACCGCCAGTCAGTCCAAGAGGCCACTCACTGACCCAGAGACTCTTACTGGTCCGCTGGCCGTCATTGTCCGAAAGACGGTCACTTTCTGACAGACCTCCGCTGTCACTAGGGTCCCTCGTATGCCAACGATTGATGCCTGCGCTGTCCCTGGGGTCCCTCGTATGCCAACGATTGATGATGAATAATGACGTGGGCAGAGTTCAAGCTTTCTGTGTTATCGAATTGTTCAACAATAAAATGCAAAAAGGTGGTGCAGGATGACTCCACTGTCAGTGCCCATAACATTAAATTAGTGATGGGAGAAACGAACTAAGTGTTGTTTATCGACGAGACAGCCTGGCTGGCTTATGTGAAAGTTGTCTCTCATGGTCTTTGCTGTCCACTGACGCGCTAATACCCGACCGACTTTCGGTGGATCGAAGTCCGTTCGCCTTGATGCGGTCTTCGCTATCTTCGCACCGGGCAGGGTTTCGGTGTAGTTTTTTAAAGCGATCGATACAGTCCGACATAAAACTGCCTCCAGTATTCCGCATTGCATGGCAATTTCTCGCGGAATTAAAAAAACCGGAAAGGTTCCAGAAACCTTCCCGTACTGTTCATGTTTTCTGAGAGAGGCCAGAGCGTGTATGGGGTCTGGGTTACCGCCGTCACTCTGCCCCGTATCCGCAGAGGCCACCATGGGGGTGCAGATTAAGGCGCAGCAGGGCGCCCGCTCCGACTATGTTCGGGCTGTGTACAGGTGAGGTACGCTCCAACTATATCCGGGCTGTGTACAGGTGAGGAACGCTCCGACTACGTCCGGGCTGTGTACAGGTGAGGTACGCTCCGACTATGCCCGGGCTGTGTACAGGTGAGGTACGCTCCGACTATGTTCGGACTGTGTACAGGTGAGGTACACTCCGACTATGTCCGGGCCGCGTACAGGTGAGGTACGCTCCAACTATGTCCGGGCCGTGTACAGGTGAGGTACGCTCCAACTATGTCCGGGCCGTGTACAGGTGAGGTACGCTCCAACTATGTCCGGGCCGTGTACAGGTGAGGTACGCTCCAACTATGTCCGGGCTGTGTACAGGTGAGGTACGCTTCAACTATGTCCGGGCCGTGTACAGGTGAGGTACGCTCCGACTATGTCCGGGCTGTGTACAGGTGAGGTACGCTCCGACTATGTCCGGGCTGTGTACAGGTGAGGTACGCTTCGACTATGTCCGGGCTGTGTACAGGTGAGGTACGCTCCAATTATGTCCGGGCCATGTACAGGTGAGGTGCGCTCCAACTATGTCCGGGCTGTGTACAGGTGAGGTACGCTCCGACTATGTCCGGGCCGTGTACAGGTGAGGTGACGGGTCTTCTGATAGCTGATACTGACAACCGTCCGCATGATGTGACGCCTTATCACATCATGGGTGATAAGCTATCGGTCACGGGCCGCCGATTACAGATTCCGGATGCCGGCTCCCGGATCATGGATCCCAGATTCGGATCCCGATTCCAGGATCCGGATCCAGTACCCCAAGTGTCACAACCCAGATCCCAGATCCCGGATCCTCGAGGATCCCGGATCCAGAGGGATCCTAGATCCCGGGTCCTTGAGGATCCCAGATACAGAGGGATCCCAGATCCCGGAGGATCCCGGAGCCCGGATCGCGGATTATACCCGGGGAGGAAGGAGGAGGGACATAGCTCAGTCTGTGGCATTTCGGACCTCCGCGTGATATGCTCGGGTTAGTTTCCCGGCTGAAGACTGGGACGCGACCAGTCTTTCTTGGAGCTCGATCATAAATCAGTCTTGTAACAATTCCCATTAGGTTGAGGGTGCATGCCACGGGTCACAGGTACCGGGTCACAGAAATGGGTCACATGTCACAGAGGCCACATAAGTAATGGGTCTGGCGGTTGACCCTGGTCCAGGTCACAGATGCAGGCGGCAGATCACAGATAACCGTTTAAGGTCACGGTCACGGGGCACAGAGAATGGCTCACAGATCGATTGATCACACAGATCACATATTGATTGACGCAGATCACAGATCGACGACGCGTCACCGACTCGCAGACATTCGATCATTACTGACCACGGCTTTAAGTGCGCATGTCGCAGATTACCAGTCGGAGGTCATGGTTCACAGCTCCCAGGCTAATGACCACTGGCCGGAGGTCATGATCCACGGGCTCAGGATCAATGCGGTGGCGTGGTGCTGCTGCGCCCGCTGTTTTCTGATCCATTCGCAGCCTCAGCAGCCGTGCAATGGCGCTCCCGGTGACAGCTGTGAGTCCAACCATTGTTCGGATTGTGTGGTCGCCCAGAGACAGCGGAACGTTCACATTTCAAAAGATAAGAGTCACCGAAGCAACGCTGGCATATCTCGAAGGCTGACACATTCCTGCATCTGGGCATGGAAGGAGGTGTTTCACATTTGCGTGAGGTGTCGAGAGACAACGTTTTTGAGATATTTTTAGAGAGAGATAATCATTCTCAGGATCATTGGTTACAGTCCACAGTCATGCCATTTTGAAGGCTTCAAACCCTCTTATTTTTTGAGGCAGGCGCATCCCAACTTGTCCAGCCTATTTCGTGCCACCTATCTGAATGACACCCAGACAGGTATGACACGATAGAAACGTCATGCAAACGCCCCCCCCCCCCCCCACCTCATTGGCATTATTGAACTAATGGTAGTGAAAGGCAAGGCCACTTTATATTCGTGTATATGTTTAAAAGCATAACTCATACAATTGAAAAACATGCAAAATAATGATGACAAAAATAATTATCAAAATTCATACAACAAAAAACAAATTATTATGACCTCGTTAATATAAGATGTACGTTAGTTTTCACGATCAGCCTCAATATGTTGTGTGTGAGTGTCGTTTTTGATACCGTTCTGCCGCCCGTAAATAGCTGTAGCGCTCTACTAATCAACGATGTTTTCAGAATGGGCGAGATCTCCTTTTTCCGCTTCTTGAAGCCATGGCTCAGAAGTGATTTCCTGTTTCGTCGGACTTCGTTGTACCAATCCCAACAAGAATGTCTAAAGCTTCTTCACGGGTTCACAGATTCGGTGAGCAATTTCCAAACTTTGGCTAAAAAACTCGACTGATGATCATAGGCAAAAACACGGGAGGCAACGCCCCGATTTCAAATGCCTTGCGTACGATACGCGCAGGAAGGTGTTGTGTTAAAATGACACATTCCGTCAGATCCTCCACAAAACACGTGGGCTGTTTAACATGCGTCTTAATTATTGTCGCAACACCCAGGATCTTTTCAACAACCAACTTGAAAACAACTTGTGTCAATCTCGAGTGACGTAGAGCGCATAATTTCATCCTGCTGAAACACCGTCACATTCAAACTGAACCTGACTACGAAACAGGAATCTGTTAGCTCTGAACAGCCACGACACGAGTGCTGTGTCTGTGTGTGAAGATAAACAAGCCTTCATCACGCAACTTGACCCGCGCAGCTAATATGTTATGCTGAAGGGCTTACGTTTGGGTTCGCAACTGGTTGCCTCACCGAGTAGTGCCAAAGCGTTCCCTGGCGCTGCCTGTCCGCGCAAGGATGTTTCTTGCTTGGCGAACAGCTCACATCATTGGTGTTGTTTTCTGTGTTATTGTCTTATTGTTTCTGACTTATTATCTCTGCCCGTGAGCTGCCGTGCGCACGGTGTTTTCACCCGCAACATGTGATAAGCCGCTGGGTTGTGGCTGACCGGAGCGATCTTGATCAGGTGATTCAGTCCAGGAGAGAGGAGCTAAGCAAGTCAAAAGACGCGTCCGAAACTCCACAGACGTCACCACAAGGTACCTGCAGCGTTTTTACAACGTAACATATCGACACTGGCTTGCCGCTCTCACAAAAAAATATCGGCTCAAGTGCGGTGCCTCTTCCATCTCTCAGTGCTGCTGTGTTTTATCGGGTTCAACAAAACGCGTTTAAACAGAGATCGTGTTCCATGTGTTGTTTGACGACTCACTGTTGTGCTTAGATTCGTCGTTAAGCGTAGGTCACCGAGGCCACGGGAAACTCTTAGCCCTGCATTCACGTGACTGGAGGTGGGATGCGGTATTGCCCTGAAGTCTTCGCCCTGCAGCACCGGGAATTCAAACGTGCGACGCGCGTTTCGAATGCCGCCACCCATAGTACGGATTTCCCCGTCCCATCTAGGAAATGCGGTGCCTTTGACGGGGATCGAACCCACCCGAGGCCTTGAATCAACTCGACTTTCTTCGACCCTAGCTATAAGCCGCCATCGGAGCTTTGACCGCTACACCGCTACCATAGCGGCCCGGCGGTGTAGCTAAGCAGCGCCTTGCTTTGCATTCGGGCCACTTGGTTTACTGTCAGTGCCACGTTCAGTACAATGTGAACCAAAATAAGTTTACACCAATATGGACTCACATTCCAGTATATACACACCTTGGGCTTTGGCTCCGAGTCATTTCGAAGTACAATTCCCTTATTTCGCGGTCTCTTCGTACGCTGATCTTCGCCTGCATGTGCATTGCGATAGAGTAAGTCAGCAAGTTTTAAGTACCTCTTTTGACGGGGCTGGATCACGATCCCAAGCTGTGATGATCCACCAAAACCGCCGTCTGTTGGCTTATAACGATGAGGCTATTCGGCATTGCGTTAAGGGCATCGCGCGCGACAGTCATCATTCAGACCCTGTGGACAGGAAGCGGTTGGCACTCTGGGCCCGCTGCTTGCGGCTTCCACCGACCAGCAGCCGTAGAATGAGCTACGTGCATCTGGTAGCTGACGTTGGAGGCCTTCCACAGGCCGGAAGCGGCTGGCGCTGCTGGACCTGCTGCTGGCCTCCACCATTGACGGCCGGCCGCTGAGCGATGCCGACATCAGGGAGGAGGTCGACACGTTCATGTTCGAGGTGGGGGTGATGGTATCCACCGGTGGGCTCATGCGTGCTGTCGATCGTATGTGTGCTTGCCGCCCCTCCCCCTCCCGCCCCCAAAGATCGGGTATGTAGGAGGATGTGCAGGAAGGAAGCTGTCCTCCACGCACGTGGCGTTCACGCCTTGACGTTCCTCTGTGTTCATTCGCATTCTCAGCTCTACAAATACATTAATGCTTATCTACGTGAAAAGAGGACGTCTGGACCGCAACGCAATTTATTCAGTCTTGCGTGCCAGACTGACGACTTACCTGGACATGACGGCCCTGTTACAACGTTACAACGTTACCCTTCACAACGTCTTGAACTTTCTTAGCCCCTTACTCTTCCGCGCTGGTCCGAATCCCTGCGATCTCGAATACTGAACAGCTCTGTTCTAAAGCAGCTCCGCTGGAGACGATCCCGTCTTGAGAAGGCGAGACAGCGTTGTCAAGTGACCGCTCCTACCCGCCTCCAGGGTCACGACACAACTTCGGCCGGCGCCAACTGGACCCTCTACAACCTGGGCCGGCATCCCGGCATACAGCAGAGGGCCTTCGAGGAGGTGCGGGATGTCCTGGGCGACGACGACCGGTGAGAACTGTGAGAGCCTTCTCGGTCGGACGTCGCGCAGTGGCCTGTGAGAACATTAGAGAACCAGGTCATCAGATCGTTCTGTAACAGTCGGTGAGAACCGCGACCACCTTTGAGAGGATTGTGAAACAGCTGGAGAGAGCGTGTGCATTGTACTTGATGCTTAGTGAGAGCTTGAACGGGCCCATTATCTTTGGTGAGAGCACTCACATCGGGGGGGACCGGGATGGCCGGGAGGAGCAGCAGGCAATCCGCTAGGTATCCGTTAAATTCTGAGGTGATATCGGGAGATGTTCTTGGGCTGTCAGTGTCAGTGAAAGTGTTTTCAGGCCCTGTAATTATCAGTGCATGATACAAGTTATCCGACAATCTAAGCAGAAATATAGAGCATATCATGATAAGGGGAAAATCAACACCCGGGTGATCTTGTATATCACAGCCCTTTTTATTCCTGATTGCGACTGGCGATATCGTTTGAATGCCTGGTATCAACCGACACGAGCGTACGATGACATTCAAATGAATGATAGGAGTATCTTCTTTTTTTCTCGGAAAAAGTTGGCTAGATAATTCGTAGGAGCATCTGAATTTGTTGGAAGCGTAGGCAAGTGCAGAAAATTGCTCTGAAACAATTGCAATCGCAGAAAATCCCTCGGTGACCAGTAACGACCTCAGGTCGCGTGAGGCTGCGCCGGCGAAGACACCGGAACACCACACACCACACACCAGAACACCACACATACCCGAACACCACAGTTTCACGCATCCTTGAGTGGCTGGTGCATCAGCAGCCTGTGTAAGCCACGGCTAGAGGGATTTAAAACGTTCTCCGATAATAATTAGAAGACCGCATGCGGCGTGAGGTGAGATCAATTGTCCTTGAGAACTGGGTCGATCCAGACACAGAACCCAAATGTAGGTCGTTTGTGTTTTGGTTGACTCGCATGTAATATGAAGCATGCAGATCTATGTACAAAGTTTGGCGTTAGTCCACAAAAATTTAATTTAATTAAAAGTTAATTTGATTAATAAAGTTCAATTTGATTAATAAAATTTAATTTAAATAACAAAAGTTAATTTAATTAATAAAATTTAATTTAAATAACAGAAGTTAATTTAATTAATACAATTTGATCTGAGGCACACGTCCTTAATTCTGTCGGTGACCGGACATACCACTACCAAGCCTATCTAATCCTACATATACACGGTTTCCTTACGCCGTGAAATGAGGTGGCCATGGATCAGGCCAAAGACCATGAAAACGGACAGGCAGGGTCATAGCAAAAGCAAACAGTTCTGTACTCTGAAACTATGTGACTGGTGACCACAAGACCCCTTCATTCTAAAAGCCGTACTTGATAGCCCAAAAAACTTGGATGTCGGCCGTGGGTCAGATCAACAATTAGTGGACCACTTTGCCAACTAGGTTTGGTTATTTGTAAGTAGTCGCATACTTTGAAGGTACGCTGCTACTGATTTTCACGAGGACTTCACCATTCAAATCTTCATAGTTGCCTTCGTTGATGCAATCCATTTTATCATATGTCAAAGGAAACTTTTCACTTCCATACTGTTACGCAAGAACAGGTAACCAGGAGGGGCCCTCCCTCTATCCCAGCAACGCAATGAACTGTGTGTTAATATCGGAAAGCAAAAAATAAAGTCGCGGCACTCCCAGCGATGAATAGGAAACAAACATAAAAAAGCAGGCGAAGAGATGGTGTCGACCCAGCAATGCTATCCTTCGGCCCTGGAATAGCAATCTACTGTAAACGTCCGGCAACAACTGTCCTCCAGCATGCATGCGCGTAACCTCGACGTCGTTCCACGAATTAAACGTGTATTATGCCTGTCATCCTTGCAACATTGCTGCTTTGGGCCAAGGTTACAAATCTCCATCAGGTTATGAAAATGTCATTCAGCGTCGCATTAAGATGAGTAATCTTAATCAGTACGTCGCCGGTCCTCAATTTTGCTCATTTTCTAAACGCCTGGTGTGGCCTTCCATTGCGAGTCACTAAGGAAAAGAAGTAAGTCAAATTCAGAATCTCCCTATTTCACCCTTCTCTTCTCTCTTCCTCATATTCTGCCTTGCAGTTTCTTATCGTTTTCAAATGGAATACGCAAGTTATTCAGTGCATTAGCGGGGAACGTTATTCACATAGATAAGACAGTAGTAGTAGCCTTATTCCTCGGAAAAACCAGGAGAATGGAAATATAGTTAGGTTGGTATTTCGGCAACATGCCTTCATCGAAACAAAAGCAGAAGTGAATAAACGTTTACGTACGTCTACCTGGTTTCCTTCTGCTATTGTTTGGATAAAGGCATGTTGCCGAAATATCAACCTAACTATGTCTCCATTCTCCTGGTTTTTCCGGGTAATAAGGCTAATACCACTGTATCTATGTTTTCAACTGAAACAACAAATCTGTTGTCCAAAGGCAAAAGACTTAAGTGCTATGCTAACTGATGGTTCTCAGACCATTTTGCCTTTTTACGGCAGCAATGTCCACGCGAATCAGATCAAATGTCAAAACAGCTTGAGGAGTTCCGGTTGGAGCCTCCGTGTCACCCCACAGGCCTGTGACGCGCGAGGACCTGTCGCGGCTGCAGTACCTGGAGATGGTGATCAAAGAGTCGCTGCGGCTCTTCCCGCCCGTGCCCATGATCGGACGCCGGCTTAACTCGGACGTCGTCATCGGTGAGGCCGGTGACCTGGTGACCTGACCTGGCCGGTGACCTGGTGACCTGATGACATGGACTGGTCACCTAATGACCTCCTCGGTTGCATGGTGATCTGACCTCGTGATATGACACGGTAAGCTGGTGACCAGGTGAGAGAAGACCGGTTCAGCGGTGAGCGTGCCAGAAATTCCTGCGATAAATTTATTTTATATATCTAAAAAATACGTCAATGCCACGAACGAGGCACTTGCAATGTGGACGCATAATTGTATCCGTCTTCGTCTTCATGCAGCCGTTTTCAACACAACAGGACAAGCTTTGTAAACGTTTGACAAAAGTCGTCATTTTACCATCAGCTGCAGCGTTCTCTTTGCGCCGTTCTCTCGCCGAGCGTTCTCGCTGCACCGTTCTCTCACCGAGCGTTCTCCCTGCAGCGTTCTCTTGCCTAGCGTTTTTATTACACCATTCTTTCGCCGAACGTTCTCGCTGCAGCGTTCTCTCGCTTAGCGTTCTCTCGCTTAGCGTTCTCACTGCAGCATTCTCTCGCCGAGTGTTCTCGCTGCAGCGTCTCCTCGACGAGAGCTCGCTCTGCAGCGTTCTCTCGCCAGGTGTTGTCGGCGCCGGTCAGCACCGGTCTTCCGCTGGTCAGCGCCGGGGTGTCGTTGCTGCAGATGGGTGCAGCGTGCCGCAGCGGTGCAGGATCGGCCTCCTGGTGTACGCCATCCACCGTGACCCGCGCCACTGGCCCGACCCGGACACGTTCGATCCGGAGCGGTTCAGCCCCGAGGCCTCGCGCGGCCGCCACCCCTTCAGCTACGTGCCGTTCTCAGCCGGGCCACGCAACTGCATCGGTAAGCGGCGCGCCGGCGGGACACGGGACGCGAGACACGGGACGCGGGACACGGACACGGACACGGACACGGACACGGACACGGACACGGACACGGACACGGGACACGGGACACGGACACGGACACGGACACGGACACGGACACGGGACGCGGGACGGGGACACCGGACACGGACACGGACACGGACACGGACACGGCACGGACACGGACACGGACACGGACACGGACACGGACACGGACACGGACACGGACACGGACACGGACACGGGATGCGGGATGCGGGACGCGGGACGCGGTATACGGAACGTGGAACGTGGGATGCGGGACGCGGGACGCGGGACGCGGGACGCGGGACACGGGACGCGGGATGTGGGACGCGGGACACGGAACATGACCCTTGCCGGCAGAGGCTGTTCGGAGCAGCGCCCCACTGGCTTGTCACGAACACCTTGTGGGCTGTCAGTTCGGGGTCAGACTCGAGATAACCCTTCAATGCGAAACGTGTTTCGCGAGCTAATCCACGTTTTCAGAAGTGGCAAAGTCCAGCTCGTTAAATTTGGAAAAGCAGAGCTGGTGAAAATTGCGATGCATGTTAACGTCAAACCAGAATGCATATGTCTGTCCTGAATGTTCTTCTTTTCGAACATAGGCGTTGCATGTAATGCATCCAATCAATTTGTGCTGATCAGTTCCAACCAACAGCCAAAGCTCGGCCTACAATTTGAGGATTATCTTTGATTTAATCCAGAGCAGCCCTAAAGCCCAACCGTATCCGTCGCCAAATGAAAGTCATGAGAAATAATCCGGAAGGCCGACATGTGCCTTGTTGGATCTATCGGTTTCTCTGGTGCCTTCTCTGTCGGCTTCTCTGGTGCCTTCTCTGTCGGCTTCTCTGGTGCCTTCTCTGTCGGCTTCTCTGGTGCCTTCTCTGTCGGCTTCTCTGGTGCCTTCTCTGTCGGCTTCTCTGGTGCCATCTCTGTCGACTTCTCTGGTGCCTTCTCTGTCGACTTCTCTGGTGCCTTCTCTGTCGGCTTCTCTGGTGCCTTCTCTGTCGGCTTCTCTGGTGCCTTCTCTGTCGACTCCTCTCGTGCCTTCTCTGTCGGCTTCTCTGTCGGTTTCTCTGGTGCCTTCTTTGTCGACTTCTCTGGTGCCTTCTCTGTCGGCTTCTCTGGTGCCGCGACTGTAAATCCAGCAGGGATGTCCGCTTGACTGCTACCAAAGTATGTCGCAGGCTTTGGAATTGGTGCTGCAGGTAGCTGGCTCGTTTTCGTCTGTGGGCGACGTGATGGACTCACACCGTGCATGCCAATGCTGCGGTAGGGAAAACAGGAATACTGAAGTGGTCTGAAGTGTCTGTCTGAAGCAGACAAACAACAATCAGTTTGGCTGCATTTTTGTACCAGGGCGCGATATATGGCAGCTCCGCGCAGCAGAATAACGTAATATCTCATTACTTGTGGGCTCAAATATACAAGCATCAGTCACACACTCGCAGTTTGTTCCTTGACGAAGTAAGAAATGTGCCTTGGCGAGCTAAACCTTATAGTTAGTTAGGAGCTCAGAATCCTAAAGAATAATCCAGAAAAGAGTCAAAGCACTGCAGGTCCATCACAGGTGACGCTACCCCGGAATGGGTGCACCCGAAGCCATGAATCGGCTTCCATTTGCCAAAGAGCAGACTCGCCCGTGGTTTGCGCTTTTTGGAGTCGAAACCAGGCAACTAGCGACTGGGGTGCGTTCTTGCACAAACACTGGCCTCATTCGCGTTTAGTGCTGTATCAGTTATTAAAAATTTGCAACGTAGCTTTCCCTGACCTGCAGGCCAAAAGTTCGCGCTGATGGAAGAGAAGGTGTTGATCGCCACTGTTCTGCGCAACTTCAAGATCACGTCGCACGACAAGCGGGAGGACATCAAGCTGCGCGCTGACGTCATCCTCAGACTTGAAGGTGGTCTCTGGCTCAGCTTCGCGCCGCGTCACTGATGACGTCACTCGTCCCGTCACACGCCGCGTCACTGATGACGTCACTCGTCCCGTCACCCCGGCCGGCCGACAACGTAGATGCAGACGCACGCCATCGAGCGCCACATTCGAGCTGCCTTTGCTCCTTCGACTGGGCCACTGCCCATGCCACAGCCGCCACACATTTGTCACAAAACTGGTACGGACGTGAGCACTAAGTGCTTAAGCACTGAAGTACGCAGTACTAAACACGTGCCCAAATACTTAAGTGGTTGATACTAAAAAATACCTGAGAACTAAATCGCTATTCTAAAGAAATGTTAAAGTACTAAGTACTAAAAATTGCTTAGTACCAAAGTACTTTATTCTCATGTGACAGATGCGTGACAGATGTGTGACAGATGTGGCAGATGTGTGACAGATGTGTGACAGATGTGCAGCAGATGTGTGGGGCTTGCTGACCGCGGAAGAGAGGCCCGGAAGCTTGGTAGTCGTGCCCGTACGCAGGGTAGCATGAACTTATATGAAAAGCGTCATACCGGATGAACATGTGAATACGAGCCGGATGCACATGTGAACACCAACCGGATACGCATGCAGATGAACACGAGCCAAGAGATGTCGAGTGGTACGTGTAATAAGAATATTTGTACCTCGATATGTGATACGGGAATATGATAGAAGCTTGCCATATCGCAGCTGCACTCCCTCGCCCCTGGAGTGTTGCTATAATAGCTGGGACTCATCCTAGTCTTCAAGCAGACTGCCAGTAACAGCGTAAAACAGACCGCCCAATTCGTGTGAACAGATCGCCCAATCGGTGTGAACAGACCGCCCAATTCGTGTGAACAGATCGCCCAATCGGTGTGAACAGACCATCCAATTCGTGTGAACAGATCGCCCAATCGGTGTGAACAGACCATCCAATTCGTGTGAACAGATCGCCCAATCGGTGTGAACGGCAGTCTAGGTCGTTCGGGACTTGACCGACGTCGCTGGTCTCCCACGTTCCTTTCGCAGTGGTAAGTATTCGGAACCTACTTGGGAGCAATGTAAATAATGAATGTTGCGTATCATGATATCATAAGCGTATACATGCGAAATATACGGTATACGCCTTCGATATCACGCGATATCCCTGATGCTGTGGCAGCGGCATCCTCTTCCAGAATCTGGTCAGACCCTGTGCTGCCATCCACATGCGACTGTGGTAGTGGACGCTGTGGTATCTCGTCCACCATCCGTTTCCAGCGGCTGCTTCTGACATCCTACTGCCATCTACACGTGTGTAAATCCACGCTGCACTTCAGAACGCTTAACACATTGCGCATGTCACACATCACGTGCACGGATTGCATGCATCCAACGCACACACGTCCTAAGGCATTTTTGTGAAGATCCGACATCCCGTTTGTAGTGATTGACGCGTCTGCGTTAACCACTGCGCGTCTGGGAAAGCAGAGGTACGGGGTTCCCCGCGGTGCCCGCCCTTCCTGCCAGGGTGAGAGGCAAGTGACGCCACGTAGCCTCAGCAGCTGTGTGCGTCGTAAAGCCCCAATGACAAGAACCGCCGACCTGTTCCACTTTTGGCTGCCGTCGTACCACGTGTACAAAACTCATCGAATAGGCCTCCTGAACTCTTCCACATCCCCTCACCCCATTTACTTCGCCGAGACCGTGACGTGTACGTCTACGTGTACCACTTGATGTTCCCTCAGTTAGTTGGAGTTGATTTGACTTGACTTGACTTGACTTGACTTGACTTGGCTTGATTTGGCTTGACTTGACTTGACTTGGTTGGCAGGCAGCTGACAAGCTCCATGTATCTTCCCCAAACGGCGCGCTATTTTTCTCAGCTGGGTTTTCTTTAGCACGTCGGAAGCACGTCGAGAACAAGTGACGTCATAATAAAAGTATGACGTGTGATATACTCCGTCGGGTGCGCGATTTGCGATCCAACAGGGCTTGTTTGTTCCGCTGTCAGTCTTATAAAGGGCTCAAATGTCTCTTTAAATCCTCTTGATTATTCTGCTGCAGAGAGCTGCTACCGTTAATCGCATACAAGTATGGGGAAAAGTGAGCCACGTACCAGGTATTTATATATACACCCAAACAAATTTTAGGGTCTCCTTCACCACATTCTTCACCACTTCACCACCTTCTCCTTCATCAACACCACACGCGGCATGGAAGGAAGTCTGCGAGGAATTCGCGATAAGCCAGTCCGTGCAGAGCAAGAGCGGAGGTTTTAAGTTCAAGAGTTATTATGCTGACTTCTCGACCTTCAATATGCCAGGAGGTACTGGTTAAATGGCGTTGTAGAGCACACACTTGTTAACATTGTCAATTCCCGATGGCTCAAGCTGTGCTTATCATCACCAGTGAACAAAGATAAGGAAGGTTAAGGAAAATCTCGATTTTGCAGCCAATACACGTGAATCCAGGAAATGCTCCTAACCAGTACAGCAGCGGGGTGCAGTTTCACAAAATGAGTTGAAGGGGATGAGCATTAAAATGGCCAAACCGCACGTAAAATATGTCAACAAACAGATGTCTCCCAAGAGATAGCCCATTTCTTCCCAAAAATGGGGGGAGGGATGCTGGAGCCCAAGTTGGGAGCAGGGCAATCGAAAGGGAAGCTGCATCCCTGCTGTGGAGACACTGCCGCTAAAAAGATATTACATGACTAAATCACTCGAGCTCCCACATTATAGCATCCAATGCACTGATCTACGCGAACGGCCGCACCCAAGAAAACCGGGTAAGCCATCAAGTTACGACGACTCATGCCGAAATTAAGTTTGAAAACTACTTAACACGAACATTGCACGGTCCCCACGAACATCCCGAGTGTCCAGACCTCGTCCCAGCACCCAACAGCTGGCGCTGCTAAGAGGCGGGCCGAAACACAGACGGCTCAGGCGAAGGGTTCCAATGACACGTGGCGAGCCTCAAGATCGACATGAAGTGACGGCAGGAGGAGCGGAAGAGGGCGGCGGCCCCAGCGACACCCAGGCACAAATGGGCCGCGCTAGTGCGCGGGACTTTGTGGAGGCGAAAAACAAGATAATCTCGCCGCAAGCGGAATGGCCGTCAGCAAAAGCAGGCCATAAGCAGGGACCACGACATCCGGTCCGGGATACGCGGCAGCCAGCGCGCGGAGGTGTGCGACGGGCTTTGTCGCGGCTCGTCAGCGACCGTCCGACGAAAGTCTGGAGGTGGGGGGGGGGGGGGGGGGACGGAGCATGATGTGGGCGTGACGTGACGTGACGCCGGCGAAACAGCGCTGGAGAAGGACAACACTGGACCAGACTGGCCCTGAACTGCTTTGGACCGGACTGGTAAGCTGTGGAAGCCTGACGGTGCCGGCAGAAGAGTCGCTGATCATGCTCCGCAAAATAAATAGGTGATCTTCGATAGATCGTCGATGATATATAAGAATGCATTCTATTCGATAGATTAAGATAAGATCTATATGATAAGATAAGATAAGATAAGATCGTATTGAATCGCTGGGACAATGCGTCCGGCGGCTGGCTTCAGAAGCCTGGTGCAATCGCAGTCTCTGATGCCTTTCGCAATCGTTCCAGTCTGCAAGCAAGCGCATGTTGTGGACATTGTGGACATAATACACAGATCTTCGTAAGAGCTTCTTGTATCAACAGGGAAAGACGTGCGGAATCCTGCGGGAGAGGCGAGAGAATGAAAGGAAACACTTTTCTCAGTGAGGAAAAGGCAACATCGTCTTCTCTCCTCTCGCCGCTGCCCGGCGAGGTCCCCGCATGCATGTTGTCTCTTGAGCTCTGCAAACCACAGCCGTAACTTTTCTAGGCATAATCTGATTAGCCGGCTTGCCCCCCACACACAGACTCTCGCTCTCGCTCTTGCTCTCGCTCTCTCGCAATCTCGCTCTTGTCCTCTTGCTCTCTTCCTCTCGCCCCCCTCTCTCCACGTCACCACCATGACGTCACGCGGACGACATGATCGTAATGACGTCATGGGCTCAGATATTTTTGAATATGTGTTCATTCATCCAGTAAAAACGCTCATTTTTTAGATTATAGGCACACTGCCATGTTAGCGGTACGCTACAATGCTGTCTGCAAGGAACACGTCAGATCTTATGTGATTTTCTGTTGTTGTAAAAAACGGAGGTAACAGTGCATGTAGAACATCGATATGTTTTCATTGTTGTGGGAATCTGTAACCATAAGCAGACCTGTTCGTCGTGCGTGGAGTGCGTGTGAAGCAATCAGCTCTGGGCAAATTTCTTCAAAACGCAGGTTCCTTGCAACTAGTCATCAGAACGCTTGCCTTGTTATCACAATTGATGCTTTGCGAACTTCATCTTTTCCTCAGGCGGCGAGCCTCTTGAACTCATCGGGTGGTTAGCAACACACTACTATTGAGTGCTCCATCTTTCAACAGCTGCCTGCCAAGCTATCTCAAGCTCTCACAGTTTGTGTGTCCTTTGCGATTGCGTTTACTGTAACTGTATGTGTATACAGTTACAGTAAACAAACATATATATAATTGCAGCAGCTCACAACCGCCCAAAATAAATGATGTTATTGAGGAGGGTTGGACGGAATATTCAACATAGATGAAGTAGTATTATGATGATGGAATAGTGAATGGTTGGACGAAATATCCAACTTAGCTGGAACATAGACTTATCCACTGCCTGGTATCATGTGGCATGGAATAATCTATGGCGAGAACGAAACTGAATTTTGAATTAAATCTCGCCCTGATAGAATTGGGATCAATGTGCCCCCCCCCCCTAAGTTTTTAGGAAAACAGCACGGCGATCTGCAGCCCGAGAGAGCGGCGGGCGGCAACCTACGATGCCACAGACGCACGCGGCGGACAGGCATTCAAATGAACCGTCCCATCTTTGCAGCATGTTTCAAAAACGTGCTCTATTGAAACCTCGGGACTAGTTGCGTCTTATGATGGCACTGGGTAGTGCCACTGCAGCACCGTCAAGCATGGGTGCCGATTTCTCAAAATGATTCGGAGGGGGAATGGAGTCTTAGAAATCGCCATGAGACAGTTGCGACAGATTTTTGGATGTTGTGGACTTGCGTTCTCGTTCTCCATCACATATATATATATATATATATATATATATATATATATATATATATACAATGCAATATTTGTTTTGACAGCTGCTGTGCGTAGCTACAGCAATCACGTGTGAACACCTGGCTGTTGCGATCAGCTTCCTATAAACGCACCATTGCTGTTGCTAAAAGTAACCCAACGGTAATACGCGCTTGTAACCTATTGAGGAAGTGCAGGTTAGGAGCTTTGCCAAGCACCGACAGGAGAGATCAACTGCATGCATTATATTGTCACGAGTAATATAAATGGTCCAACTTCTTTCTCGTGCTGGATCGCAGGCAAACAAGACCGTGAACAAAGAGAAATAAAGGTCGACACATTGAGTTACGCATGCTTAACAGCGACAGACAATGCATCAACAAACAAATTTGAACTGAAAAATCAGAAGCTGAAACTTAGATCTATAAATACATCAACGTTATTATATCATTTTGGTACTTTTGAGGGGCACATCCATCAGCATCAGCCATTGAAGGAATTGATATGAATTGCCGCAATGTCAGACAGTGTTGTTTCACGGACACTTTAAATACCGGGGAGCGGATTCCATTTCAGCGTCGGGGATGTCTGGTTAATTGGACCTGATAAGAGTCTGCCTAGCCGTATATAAGTAGAAATCATCGCAACGGAATTAAGCACACATCGTTTTCACCAAGTATAAATGATATAGCTAAGCGGACACTTTTGAAATTAAACTGGCACGTCATGCCGCATGGAATACGCCATAAGACACACAACCCATGCACTTATTGCTTTTCCGCCGCCGCTGCAAGACGCCGGCAATCAGCCGGATTTAATGCCACCACAGCGACCCCCGACCTGCAACATATGGCTTATAAAGCCCCGACTGGCGCCTCGTCACCAGACACGTCGCCCCAGGGACAGCCCCAGCTGTGTGAGGGGCGACACGTGACCTGGTTCTGCCCGCAGACCGGTTATAGCTGAGCTTCAGTAGTGTAGAGTTGCAACGGGCCTGCTCACTGCTCGTAACGT